ATATTCCTAGAAATCTGCACAGAGCTTGCTACAGACCTATGGAAGAAGAGGCATTACAATGCAGCTGGGTGTCTGAGGCAGCTGCAACACATGGGGACAACAGTGGTTCCTGCTGTGCCACTGGCATGATTGTATGGCTGTGGTGACAGTGGTTTCTCCCTTACCTCCAAACTGTTGCCTGTGTGGCTGCCTTGGTCATCTCACCCTAGTTATGCTACTGGAAGCAGAATAACCATTTTAGACCATCAATTAGGAGTGATAGAGCATACATTCTTTGCCCTCCCCTGTCCTCCTGCAGGACTTGGAGTTCATAGGAAGAGCATTCTTTTACATAGATAGTACTGCTGAGTCAATAAGTGCAAAAGATTCACTTATGTTACTGCAGAGGTCTGGGAAATTGCATAAAGGACCTGCAAAGGGGTGGGTTGGTGGAGGCAGAGAGACTGGCCCAGTGATTGGAGTAACCACCTGTCTTCAGTTATGACAAACGAAACAGACACCCCATTCTAGTGACAAGATAGCCCACTGACAACCAACCTACTCTGAGGAAACCCCATGAATGTTGCTAAGGTGTCACAGTGAAACACGGTCATGATAGCTCTGAATTGCACACAAGAAAACTGATTGCCTTCTTTCTGTCCTGGGGGTCATTGTGAATGGGTTTACTATGCAGGCTCCTCTTGTGCTTTCTTTTTCATCTACACATGGTATCTCTGTGCCCATTGTATGCCATGGGCTCTCTTTTACCTTTTCCAGTTCATTCAATAGATGTGATTTGCATGTACTGATCTTCTTCATCTCTTCAAATTTGTGTCTTCTGTGCAAATGGGCTGTTAAATTATCTGTAGTGGAAGGGTAACATGAACAGGAGGGAGAGCTACCTATGTACAAGTTAATGAGAAAACCACCAGAAACTTGGTGAATTTTGGGGCATTTCAGTCTTTGTTAGGCTAAGCTCAGAGGCACATTCCTGGGAGCTGGAGTGGTGGGCCATCAGGCCAACTTGTTGGTTAAAGGGGTTAAAGCAGTGATGCTTCCAGAAGGCACTGTTCTTACTGTCCCCCATGGAGTAGCTGCCACTAGGACGGTCATGTTGCTTGTTCACACTGCTTCCAGTACAAGATATTTTTAGGCAGTCTGGGCAATACAAAATGGCATGAACTGATTCAAAAGGCAAGCACGTATTCCAGTCATGTCATCTGTGTATCTTTTCCTGATCGCAGTGACACGGAGAGTTGTGGGCTATGTAGCAGCAGGCTGGCTGGTGGTTGTTTGGGAGACCTTAGAATCTAGTTTGGACTGCTCAGACCAACGCCCAGCCTCCTGGCTGGTGAAAAGGTTCTGGCTGTCAGAGACTTCTTTGACCATAGAAGCCCTTAGCTCCACATACCATGGTCTAACTGAGGTTTGTCTCTGTCCACTTTGATATGGGAAGCTTTTGAAAACACTTTGTCCAACTACCATAGCATGGAGCTGTGACATAATTGGTGCCTGAGTGGTGGTTTATGTCCCATGCCTGCTTGTAGTCACACTTGAGATCTCTGACTTTGGAGCAGCCTTGCTAGTGGCCCCTCTCTGGTACAGTCTGGTGTATAGACATATATGCTCCTGGGATTCTGGAGGTCTGAACGGACCCTTGACTCTCACCTTAGTGCAAGAACATTCAGGACTTCTGCATAAGCCCAATGCCTGGTGTGGTAGGTAGCAGGCCCCCTTGATAGTACCCAGATCATAGAAAAGTGGTGTGCAGGTCCTTCAGGCTCTTGATTTCTGGAGCTTCGGTGCAGAATGAAGATCCAATGTGACCTTACACCAGAATCTAAGGTGGGAGGTGACTCCTGAGCACTCTGACCCCACTGATTAAGTCAGAAAGATAGACAAGATGAAAGGAGGCCGTTGGCAGATTAATTGGCTGACTGTGGGAGGGGTTGTCTACAAACAAAAGCTAACCTGTGATGTTTGAAAGCATTAGAAAATTGCCTGATAAATTTACTGCTCCTAAAATGAAGTCACCTCACTTGTGAATGGGTTTGCTATGCAGGCTCCTCTTGCGCTTTCTTTTTCATCCACACATGGTCTGCCTGGGCCCATTGTATGCTCTCTCTTTTTCTTTTCCACTTCATTTAATAGATGTGATTTGCATGTATTGATCTTTCTTCATCTCTCTAAATTTGTGCAAATGGGCTGTTAAATTATCTGTAGTGGGTAACATGAACAGGAGGGAGAGCTACCGACATACAAGGTAAAGTTTTCACAGCTCTTTTTTCTCTCATCAGGAAAGCTTGACTTTCCAAGCTTAATCCATGTGTGCGCCTGGCCTGGGTGGTCAATGGAAGTCTGCACAGGTGCAGGACATAACACAAGCCCACGTATTTCCAGGATCAGGGTTTTCGATGGTAACGTTCTATTTAAGCACCAGCTCTTCAAATTCTTAGTCCTAGTGAGTTTGTGGTTACTCACAACTTTTTGCCTGACTGAGACTTTAGATTTGATGTTTCTTAGGATATGGAGTATGTCTTCTTTTGTGGATCTGAGAACCCTATCAACCAATACGGTAATCTTTAAAATATGCCAAGTGAAATAAAAATTGAACATTACAAGCAATAGCAGCATGTATTTTCATAGAGTAATATGAGCTTATCTCAGGTGGCATGAGAGCAGGAGATGCTACTCTGGGGTCCACACCTCTAAGGAGAATGAGTGTTATACTTGAGACTTGTAACAGGCACAGGGTGTCCTTCTTGTTCCTGAACTCAGATGACAACATATTCCTTTGCACTTAAATATTAGAAGAGGAGACAGGTTTCTCTGTACTTCTATTATCCAACACCAAAGCCTTTGTTGCTAGTTAGACTGGAAGACTCTATTAAATGTTGATATTTCTCTCCTGGCTGTATGGACAGGTACTATGGACAGTAGCTTTTTTTGTCCAGGATGAAGAGGGGGGTTTCTGAAGTGCTCTAGGTTCTTCTGCAGAGCGAAGTGTTGCTGGCAGTGGCAGGAGTGTTTTGGAAGGGGAGAGAGGGACGAAAAGAAAAGAGCGTTTGAAAAGTCTTTATTCCCTTCCCCGACCACACGCGGCCCCGGCTCTCCGCAGCTTTCTTGTTTCTAGTGTCCGAGGAGCTTGTCAGCTGGGAGCCCCAGGCGCGGGGCGGGGGTCTGGCGGCCGGGCTGCCCCCGCCACCACCCGGCCCCCGCGCGCGCGGCGAATCTCGGGGCCGATCATTCAAAAATGGAGGATGAGTCCTCTCAGCCATTAATTAATAATGTAGCTCTCTGTCTTCCTGTGTGACACACGCTGGAAGGCACCAAGCGGCCAATAAAGATGTAGAGGAGAGAAGTGGAAAGCTCCTCCCAGCAGCTCTTCCTGATCGAGGGCTGAAGAAGTAGATCAAAAAACTTCCCAGGAGCTGAAGGGAAGAGCAGGAGCCAGGCAGCCCTCCGCACCACAGCCACCCTTTCCCGCCGCAGGTAGGCGGGCGGCAGGCAGGGAGCCGACCCCGGCCACAGCCCGGCGGGGGGCAGGGGACTCCTCGCTCCGCGCCGGGGGTAGGAGGGGGCAGCCCGGCGGCAGAGCCCGCAGGCAGCGCTGCCTGGGCAGGAGGAGAAAGGCGGGCGGGCCCCTCCGCGCGAGGAAGTAGGAAACGACGAGCGGCGCTCCCTGCCCCCGCCGCCGGGCTGTGCGGGAGGCGGGCGTGGGGGCGGGCGGGCAACTTGGTGTCCGGCCCGGCGCGCGCAGGTCAGAGGCGGCAGCCGGCGCGACCCCGGGG